ACAAATAGTTCATATTTTTCGGAGTTATGTGCTTCGGTCATATAGAAACCGCAGCAATTACTTAAATTTTCAAATTAGTAGCTGCGGAGGAGCAGAACCGCAGCAATCAAGTATGAGACGGAACAAAAGTAGGGCTTCATCTCCTCTTTTAGCGCTATCCAACCATGTCATCTCAGTCCTCCCGCTCACACCGCCTCAGTCCTGGGACCCCCCTCGTGCCTCCATCCAGCCATTCAGCACAACCGCCTCACGCCTTTGCCCAACACAACTGTCTCACGCCTCTACCAGCAAAGCCGCCTCACGCCTCCACAAAAAACCCTAACTAGTTGATCATATCCACTGCAGCGAACGACGATTGACTGCACCTGGCAGATGGAGGTGGACAGTGGCTTCTCCTTTTGTGGCTGATTGAGCCGATATTGGCCGATGACGAGTTTAGCGATGGACGATGATATGTGACGAGGATGACCAGGGGCGGAACTAGGCGCTCTTGAAGCTTTCATCCTTTTCCATCAACCTACGGTAAAACTGATCTGCTTGCTTCCTCTGTTGTTGAACGATGTAATATCCTCTTTGTTTTAAAATTTTATTTAAACAGATCTTTACGTTAGGTAAGTCATTTGTTATTTTCATATGCTGAAGTTTTTAATACCTTGAGGCTGAGTTTGTTTGTCAACTGAAATTTTATAAATTCGATTGGACAATGGAATTCTATACATTTGAATACTTGATTTATACACTGATGAAAAGGGATTATATTGTTTGCTGAAAGGTGTAGTAATCCATGAAGTATATGACTTTTTGGTATGTTGTGCCTTTTAATACATGGTATAATGTTTCCAGCCTTTCAGATATGTTTTAGTTTCAGAGATTTGATGGAATGAAATTTGTGTTTCAGGCATGTGCTCTAATGCTTGCAGATAATGGTATATGCTGCATTGATGAGTTTGACAAGATGGATGTTAGAGATCAGGTGATTCAATTTTGAGGATTTATTTTTCTTTTCATCTTTAATTAACATCTAATGGTTAAAATATGTGTCACTACTTAGGTTGCCATTCATGAAGCAATGGAGCAGCAAACAATAAGCATTACAAAGGCTGGTATTCAAGCAACACTAAATGCTTGAACATCAACTTGAGCTGCTGCCAACCCCACTGGAGGTTGGTATGACAAGAGCAAACCTCTGAAGCTACTTTTTATGCTTTGTACAACAATTTCCTTGATGTCATTTTTCCCATTCTTTTTCAATTAAAATTTGACCAAATATATGAGTCTTTTTAAGAACTAAAAGAAGGTTTTGAAACATGATTTTTTGGGAGTGGACTAGTTGAGTACTATATATGGATTCTTGATGTGGAAGCTTGGCTTGTAAAGCCTCACGGCCCTCACCTGGAGCATATATTGGAGACTTGGAGGTTTTGCCATCCTTTTGTAAATGTTCTGGTTACACCACTTCTTAAAAGCATATATCATTGATAGCTGACATGCCCTTACACCTTATCATTCCATATTTGTATGGTTAACTCATTTTCTAACAATCTTCAACAATTCCTTACTAGTTACTATCAGGCTATCATCTTATTCATTAGTCTTGCTAAGGGACATTAGGTAGCAGGGGAAATTTCTATTTACTTTATCATGCTCAACATAGTGTAACATTTGATTTTGTGGGCCAGTGCAATCTTGAATCTGCCAACGAACATTGGTTCACCAAATAGATATTGTACATTTGTGCATATACTTTTACATCACCAACAGTATCAATTGAGGACATGTTAGTAGTACCTGCAATTTCTACTCTTCTCAATACTCTGTAGTTATGGTTCAGTAAAGCATAGTTCGAAGGAAAAGCTTAAATTCTGCTTTATTAGCCTCTTAGAATCTGCATGAACTCTGAATGGTTTATTTCTATAGATAACATGTGATCTAAAACATTTCAATCATCTATCACTTTAGAAACATTTTATTTATTAAGATATAGATTAGGCCTCTTAAAGCAGGTGCGTTTGGCTTAGATTTAAGATTTATGCTTTCAGAATCGATCGACGTGACCTAAACCTACTAAAACATGCCAAATCGGACACAAACTGACCCAAAATAACCGAACTGAAACCAAATCAACTAAAACCAAGTCGGCTAAACTGAACCCACTAACACTCCTATTGTTGTAGAGACATATAGTGTACACTTGCATAGGACTTGTATCTTTGGAATCTTAGAAATGGAGTCTGGTTTTACATCATCAACTTGGTCCCAGACAGATATAAGTCTGGTTAGTGAAGTTTCCACGCCTCTCTGCAGATTCACTCTCAAGTATTGTAGGGTAAGATTAGGAGACCTTGAGCTTGCATAGGTGTCACGTCCGGTTACATATATACATGTCATGCTTAGCTACTAGGCTATTCATGACAAATTTGGTGATGCCAAATTTAAAGAAATAGTCACTTTATATTCGATAGACAAATTTGGCTGGGTGATATGCTAAAATAAAAGAGTAAAGGTGGGCCTCCGCTAAAGTCGGTCTCTAATCAGGTAGTACGGATGTGTAGCAAGCACTGAAATTGAAGTATAACATACTGCATTTCTTTCTTCACTGTACTGCTACAAAACAAACTTCTTTTATCTGGATTTTAAGACTGCAAAATTGAAACATTTCTTACTGCATTTCTTTCTTCATTCTCACGTTGATTGGGGCATCTTCTTGATGGAGCAGCTGAACGGTTGAGCCCTTGGGTGCAGTGGGATGCTTGACCATTCACATTGTCATATCCATTCACATTGATAGGTGCCTTTTTGCTTGCTTTGATATTTAGGAGATTAATTAATAATACATCATTGCTCACTACATCATTGTTTGCCTTTTTGCCACTTATATAATTTTTATGATACATATGTGTTTCTCTAATTATGTGTTTTTAATATTTTAGGTTTCTTGGAGTACCAAAAGAAATCAATATTTGTCGAGAGATGAAGTGTGTGAAGCTTGCGATGCATTGGTGATACAAGTGTGTGATAATTTATTGTAAACTACTACGTATTAGTTTTTATAAACTTTAAAAGATGAGTATTTCTATTGTATGCATAGTGAACTTTGGTGATGTATACCTCTTAGTTCTTTTAGAATTATGGTTTTGGTTTGTGATATAAGATGCTCTTGTTGTAATTTGAATGTTTCTTATTTTATAAATAGTATATGTTTTGGTTTGAAACACCATGTTTGTAAACTTGGCCATTTGGGTAGTAGAACAAAACAAAAATAAATATTCCAATTTTAGCTTTTTTTTTGAATTTTTTGCTGCAAAAAAAATTAAAAAAATTATACTATTTGGTGCGGTTCAGAACCACAGCAATAAGTCAAAAAAATGATTTTTTTAAAAAGCTATTTGGTGCGGTTTCGAACCGCAGCAATAAGCCAAAATTCGTTTTTTTTAAATAGTTATTTGCTGCGGTTCTGAACCGCAGCAAATACATTTTCCTACAATTTGCTGCTCTGCCAATTGCTGCGGTTCAAAACCGCAGCAAATAACAAAAAATGACCGCAGCAAATAGCTATTTTTCTAGTAGTGGTACTACATAAAGTGACTTCCTATTATTTTCATTGTACTTACTAATAAAGTGTATTACTCGATGTGATAAAAGGGTAACATTATTGATCTAGGAGGTTTTTACTTGAATTGTAATTTTCTGATTCGGTTGAAATCTGATCTGGTTTGATTTGTTTAAATCTAATCTTATCTGATTTGATAGATAGATGTTTATTTCGTTTGTATTAACAACTATAGAAATCAAGTCAGTCTAGTCTGATTTGATTGATCCAAAACCGAAACTAGTCCATTTAAAAACATACTTTACATCTGATACTTGGTACTGTTGGTAGTAGTGTGAATGGAACTTTTGTAATGAGAGAGAAATATTTTAAGAGATGAAACATGAATAAGTTACATAATATCAACATCTCAATTCACCCAGCAAAAAAATAAAGATGCCAAAAATTGTAGTCATCTTTTACTCTTCTATAGTCACATTTATTATGTTTGCATTATCATCACCACACACATGGCGGATGATAGTAGGGACTACAGTGTGCTCTAGCCCAGACCAGTCAATTTTTTTAATTATAGGTATAGACTTATAATAAAATTGGTGTACAGCTCTGCCCAAAAACAATTCAAAAGCCCAATCAAGTGAGAGTTTAAAGATTAATTTAAAATGCAGTTCATAATTTTAGTCTTTGTAATTTTCTAATACAATATACTTTCATATATAATATACAAAAGTTTAACGTGTTAATGGTCATATTATTCGAACGCTCGATAAGTTCAATAAACACGCTCGATAATTTCGATGTCACCCCATTAATATGCTACATCGAAACAATGAAATTAAATGAATATTATCTAGTACAAAATGGAGCTCGAGTTTGGCTCGATAGATTGTCGGTGTTCGATTCGAACGCTCGATAAGTTAGATAAAAATGCTCGAATGTATAAATTTGGACAATGCTCGTTAATTGATTCGTGTTCGAATTATTCTATAAATACTCGAATCTTTAATGATCTTTAATAAATTTATATAATCACATGACTAAAAACGTTTAAATTTTAATATATACTTTGTATTAATGTTATTCCTATAATTTACAAGTGATCGATAGGCTTGAGTCCAGACCGACCAAACATCACTATGCTCAAAATCAGCTAGAATAACTCTTCGAACTCAAAATCTAGCATGTGTTTGATTCGAAGCTCATTAAGCTCGAATTGTTACATTAGATTCGTAATCAAGATGGAACTCGAATACTTCAAAATAAAAAGCTTGGTTCAACACAATACAGCTCTAAGCTATACCATGTGTAGTGACGATGTTTTTTTACCTTTTAGCTCACCCCACCTTTCGTTCCGGTATCCGCCCCCGACCACACATTTTCTAGTGGGAACCTTCTACTAAAAATGTTTAGTGATGACGACAACATAGCCTAAAATAATGATGTGATCTGATTGACTGGGATACTGAATTCAAATATAACTCAGAAGAAAAGTGAATGACACTATATATGACTTATATGTAGGAGAGGAACCAGCTGTGAGTCGTTCAGGTGACATACAAGCACTGTATTTGCAACTTTTTAAAAGCCTATTTAAAATACAAACAAATAAGCACAAGACATATGTATAGTTAAAATTGGGATCTTCAACCTTCAACCGAGACTGTATTCGAAGCAGGAACGTGTTCCACATTGTCTTTTCCTACATCCACTTCAGTTTGGTCAGGACAAGGTAACTCCTCATCGTAGCTCTTTGTTCTCTCTTTTGCCTCTAAAGATTGATGACGATGATCGACATCTCGGGGGTTCATTATTTTCCCTTTTGATGAGGTCGCACCATTCTTATTGCTGTTTGCTTGTAAGGCCCGGGGAGACTTTCCTGGTTTGTTTACAGTCTTGGGGCTAAGACATTCTGAACCGCTGGTTGCTGGTGATGCAGACGACTTGTTCCTCCCAAGCTTAGGAGATATAGGGCGAGTTGTGGGCCTCTGAAAAATTGTCAAAGACCTTGAAAACTTATCATTCTGCAGGATGGAAGAACCCAATCCTATGGACTTACTCTATAGATACCGTTCAAATTGATTTGAAGTAACTTTCTTTAGTTTACTCATCTCCTAAATCAATCTTGACTGTCCCTCTAGTAAGCTCTATGTTGGAGGTACTAACCATGTGCGTCATACATTCGCTACCCCTTCCCTAAAAATGAAAGTTCCAATTTCATAAAGGTATATCTTTTAATTATAGTGAGATACTGTTATTGGAAATTATCAATCTTAGAATGATTTTTTAAATCATTTGTTAGATAAAAAATACTACGTAGTTTTTAGCAAAACTTAACGCATATTTAATTTGGTTGGGACATTATTTGAAAAGTACAATTAAGATAATACAATTGGGTTCCTTTGTTCATATATGTAGCCATATAGGACTATTTTTTGAACAACAATTTATACTCCGTATTACATTACCTTTTTCAGTTCAACTATTGGAGGAGGTTCCTTGTAGAAGCTTGGCAATGGAGTAGCTTTAAAAGTCAAGCTCTTTCTTAGCTGCTTTATCTCGGCCTCTTGGTTTTCCTGTGTCATCAAGTAGAGGAATTCTTCTTAATAGACGACATTAACAAGTAGAGAAATCATTAAAACCTTCAAACCAAACTACTGCGAACTGAAAGTTATAATGCATGTATCTAACAACTTTGGATTTTGCCTGCAAATTGCTCTTTTCCTCTTCCTTTGCTTGTATCTTCTCTTCTAGCTTTGTAAGGAACTGAAACAAAACAATCAAACTTAGAACTTCTTGTTCCGAACTCAAAATTTTCAAAACACACACACTGATACACGCACGCATCAAACCTCTTTTCGTTTTTCAGCACGCTGGTCCAATCTAAAGGAAAATCCAGAACCACTAATCCTGCGTTGTCCCTGAGGAGTGGCACTGCTGATGATAACATGAAATATATACAATGGTACAATGAATTCATAAAAACAACGCAAAAAGGTGGACAAATGTACATAAGAAAAGAGCAATACGATGAAGCTGTAGAATTAGAATCCTCTTCCTCCTTACGATGCCTAACATTTGTTATGGGTTTGGACGATCCACCAGTTCTGTGAAATAAATTAACTAGTTGGCAAGAAATATCCAAAAGGGAAACTTCAAACAGTATCGAAAGGGGAAAACAATTTAAGGAAGGAATCTGCATATAACTAAATTGCCTTACCCTTTCAATGAATCAGTTCCATTAGCAGAACAAGACTTGCCAACCTGATGATTGTAATAAATAAGAAAAGAGATGCATATTTATTCGAGGTGAGCATGGGTGCATATGAGAATGATAAACCCGTGTGTGCAAAGGTGAAATAAAATTACCTTAGACTGATCAAAGCTTTTAGTAGAAGCGGTTAAACTTGTTCTTCTGCTGGTAGTTCCATTTTTACTCACATGAGAAGTCTTAAGAGTTTTGGATGAATCAACTCCTTTAGCAGAAGCAAATGAACTTTCTCCCCCAGATTCTTTCGACTTTGAAGACGATTTAGGCATTTCCACAAACACCTCTTCCCCATTTTCTTTGTCAATCAAACATTCCCTCTCATCCTCTTCAGCCAGACCACCATTTCCAGACTCCATCCTATACAAAATCACCATAGATATCTAAACAATAATGATTTCTTGAATAAACCAAGAACAACATAACAGTATTATTTCATGCAATTTCTTCAAGAACGGGTAATCAAAAACAGGGAAAAGGTGTGTGAAGCGTACCCCTGTTTGTATGGAAGAGCAGTAACTATCTATGGGTTTCTGACTTCGAATGCCGATTCTGGAGTAATGGGAAGTACGGCTAGAGATAATAGAAACAGTTGAAACGAGAATGAGATTGAGCGGGAGTAGTTTCCATGGAGAAGTTATGGGAAGAAAGAAGTGGCGAGTGTTTCAAGGGAACACGATTGACGCAACTTGCAGTACCCTTCGCTAGTCGTTACTCGCTGCCATTCTGATGGCGATTTTTGCAACTTATTATTGGGCTAAATAATTACGGAGTACATTCTTTTTTTCTCAAAAACATTAGTGAAATATTAGTGAGATTTTGTCAAAAAAAATGAGTGAAATGAAAATTTATCAACAAAAGTAAGATTTATATGGAGTTATTAATATAGTACGTACTATAATACTCTCTCTCTTCTTTTTTAGTTGCAACGGTCAACATTTTACATTTGCCAACGTACGTCTTTGACCGTAATTATATCTTAATTTTATTAGTAAAAAAAATATTAAAAATCAGATTTTGAAAATTTGTAATGAGATGCATCTTACAATATTTTTTAAAAAATAATTTTCATAAAATAATAGCGTAAAATGTAGTCAAAGTAGAGCATGTGAATAGTGTAAAATTTAACATGTTGCGATTAAAACGGAACGGGGATAGTATATAGTTACTAAAGTGAAAAAAATGAATATGAATTATTATGACTAAGTTACATCTATTGTCATAATTTACAACATTTTAATAGTATATATGTAATTATGTTTGATAAAAACATAAAACCCTAATAACATAATTGTAGCAAGTGCGTTTTTGGGTATGTTTGGCACAACTAGCTGAAAAAATACTTTTGTGAGTTTTTTAATAATCGTTAGCTTTTAGTGACTGAAAAGATCTTAAAAAGAAAAGGTGGTAGTTGTTTGGTAAAAAACTGACTGTTTGATTTAGTTCGGTTTGGTATACAAGCTGTTAGGATTAATTAATACTCCCTCCGTCCCATATTTAACTCCTGTTTTGACCGGGCACGGGTTTTAAGATAGTGGGATTTGTGTGGTGGAGAGTTATGGAGAGGAGAGAGAAATGTGTAAGAATGGTTGTGAACCACATATTCTTTACCAAAAGGGGAAAAAGGAGATAAATTTGGGACGGACCGAAAAGGAAAGAATGAAGATAATTCCGGGATGGAGGGAGTACTAAAAGTCACGGGATTTTCCCAGATGCTACTCCATGTAGCATCTCAAAAAAGATCTTTTAAATTTTGAAAAGCTCTTAAAAATTGTCATGTCAAACATACAACTAAAAGTTTTTAGAGACTTTTTGAATAGTATAAAAGCTAGAAGGCAGATACTTATGTCTGCCAAATATAGCCTTTGGCAAATTTATTTATTTTTTCTTGAATGATTGACTTTTCAAATTATAACTATTCTAGAAACAATGTGAGTAGGACTTTAATTTAAATAAAATTTGTTGAGTGAATACAATGACAGTGCTCTATCGTGGAAAAAACACTGAATTATATTGATAGGGTGAATACCAAATTTTGGTATAAACGGCCAAGAAGTTTGATTTATAAATATTACTACGTGTTTTTTTTTACTCCAGAGGGCGTCTGGGGGCTGGGGGCTGGAGTAATCAAGGCTGAAACTCACTCCATTGAATTTCAAATCCTTATGCGTCTAGCGGGTTTCGAACTCGAGACCTTTCACTAGGCACGGTAACCTTACAACCAGCTGAGCAGGAATGCTTGGTTAAATATTACGGAGTACTCCCTCCGTCCCTAATCTTTCTCCCTTTTCGGCTGGGCACATTTATTAAGATAGTGGGATTTGTGTGGTAGAAAGTTGTGAAGAGGAGAGAGAAATGTGTAAGAATGTGTAAGAATGGTTATGAACCACAAATTTTTTGCTAAAAGGGGGAAGAGGAGATAATTTTGGGACGGACGAAAAAGGAAAGTTTGAAGATAATTTAGGGACGGAGGGAGTACTACGTAATATACATACAACAAAACTTATAGAAGTGAGCTAGATCCCCATGCACATCCCTAAATTCATCATTCTCACAATCTCACCGGTGCCGGAGCTTGAAAAGTGATTCAAATGGGTCGAAAATTAACTAAATATAGAATAAAAAGAATGGATCATATCATTTTTAAACTATACCTAAATTGAATTTTTCATATGTAGCTTTGATAATGGTAGTTTAAACGAGACTAATAGATTATAGATTTGATATATATCTTTTATACATTATAGAGTTCATGTAAGCAATGAGTGAATTAAACGTTATTTTTGAAATTTGAAAATATAATCAATATTACACATAGAATTTACTCATTTCAAATTTAGATATGATAATTCCTTATTTTTCATGAGTCATAATTTTTTATTCGTAATAAGTTACAAGAGCTATCATATATCAAATCATCGAATATATTTAAATGCTTTGTATTCTCAAAACTTTTAGAGGGAGTCGACCGACCACCCTGACCTCCCCTTGGCTCCATCCTTTCTTCACACTATATTTTAACCACGGATTGAACCATCATTTTTCAGTTTTAAGATATACTCCTCCATGCCTTATAACTTTGTTATCTTTCTTTTTTTAGACGTCCCAAAAATTTTGACACTTTCTCTTTTAATCGATGAATTTGTGGTTCCTGTTATTTCTCTCTCCTCTGCACATATCTCAATCACGCAGTTTTTATTTTATTATTTCCCGTGCCGGTCAAACATGGAAAAGTATGAAGGGACGGAGCCACGGAGGGAGTATATTTATCCAAAAGTTGGAAACAACCAAAAAGTATTTCTAAATGGGAAAAATTTCTTAAACCAGAGTAAAAAAGTATTGGAATTGCAGAATAGAACTATCGTGTTTTTTTCCTTCAATAGAATTAATTACTGCAGGTTATAAAAAATATTGTCACGTTTAAAGTGTGGTACTGCGAAATCATTGAAGTAATTACACATATTTCGGGAATAAAAACATGGCAATTCTCTTTTGGAATTCCAGATTGTTTTTACTTCTATTTAGGGGAATTCCCTTTATAAATTCATACAAGAATATTGCGCAAATTATGTCATAAGATCAGTGCAGTTTTTTTATGGGTCTCGTACTAGGCGGGGTGGAAATACAAATTTTATATTAATCACTTTTTTAAACAATTACAGATGATCATATACTCCATCCGTTCTTTATTAAATGTTCAATTATTTGTCTCTTTCTTTTTTTGTTAAGTTTTTCAATCAAAATACTTTTTTACACCCACTTTTATTACCTATATCCCTTTCTCATTCCTACTTTATCATTTTAACACAAACAACTACACATTTAATTGTAAAAAATAGCCTTACCAACAATAGAAAGCAAGCAATTAGGATAAAAAATTTAAGTGTAAAATGCTACTGGGATAGCACATGGAAACATATACTCCCTCTGGTCCCAAATGAAATTCACACTTTCCTTTCTAGGTAGGTCCAAAATAAACTTCACACTTTTTCTCCCTTCCTTATTTGGCAAATTATCTACATCAAAACAGTGCAAAACAGTGTCAAACAATGCCAAATAATGTCAAACAGTGTCACAACAGTGTACTCTACAATAAAGTCAAATTTATTTCCTTAATTTGTGTGAAGTCAATTTCATTTGGGACCGGAGAGAGTACACTATTACTATTACATCAACTATGCGCGTATATCTATCCATTTTATTTTCAAAATTTTGGTTGTTATTTACTCCTTCTGACCCGTTAAAATTGTCTCATTTTATCTTTTCGGAAAATCGCACTAACATTGTTTCATAACAAATTTGATAAAATTTATGTGGCTCTAAATGATTTTTACTTTATTATTACTTTATCAATTTAATATTAATCATACAAAATCATTTTTTTTAATAATCGTGTCACCTTCTGTTGTCTCAATCTTAAATATATGACATATCTTTCATTGTTGGTTACTACCATAAAAGTCAACTTCCACCAACATCAACAAGTTTAATAGCACTATACTCTAATCAACGGCCGCCACATTTTGCCTCCGTAAACGTTGGAAACCGCCGGTATGTTGGTGTTCTTAGCCATTACTGGCGACCACCTCTACTGCCAACTATCCCTGGCACCACCTGTATAGTATTCTCAATCACAACCAATTGGGAGAATGTGGAAAGACATTTTCTGTTTTAAGATATTTATTTATCAATCATAGTCCCATATACTCGTAATAAATAATATTCATAGCTGTACACTTGTCCACCTGATGCATAAGTTTGATTATGAGTACTTAAAAGCTCAACAATAATTTCGATAGCTCATCTCTTTCATTCATTCATAATGATGGAGGATAAAGCATCATTGTCAATTACAATTTCCAGGTATTAAATCATGAGCTGCAAAATATGGGGCTAAGTAGTGCTGAAATTTCTTTGATTTAAGAAGCTTGATTGAGCACCATGACCACACATAAAGTCACCATCATTTGCCTTGACAAAAGCATGGCTGTTACTTGTTAGTTGTTCCATACTCTAGTTTTTACTCAACTTACCAATAAATGGCTAGATCCGCCAATCAAGCTTTTTCAAAAGATGAAGGCCAAAAAAGAAAGTCCATTGGCTGTATCAAGAAGCTCGGGATGCCTCCTTAAAGCTGATTTTAGATCATCTTATAACCGTTTCTGGCCTAAATCTGCATTCCCTTTAGTCATCATTGCTACAAATTCGTCGTAATCAATGCGACCATCCTGAAGTAGTAGGAGAAATCAAATTTACTAAGAATAGAGAAAAGGAGCATATCTTACTATGAAGTATTAAACTACTCATCATATTAGGCGGGTCTTTTAGAATAGAACATCAATTCTTCATATGGTATCAGAGCCCATTACAATGAAAAGAGAATGTCGACCTGGTTAAGACTCACAAAGAACATTCATAGTTCAAGTTGGTGTGTTCCAATGCTCCACCAGCTTGTGGGGCATGTAAGTTGATTCATTCTATATGGAATTTGAATTTAGCTCTCCCATGAGATTGACCTTTTAATGTGGAACTCCGAAATATAATATATATTACGGAGTATATCATAATATTGTGTAGTTGGTACCTTTTCTTTCTCTCCAATGCTCTTTTGTGTATTTTTTTTAATCCCAGTAAGCGTCCAAAACCCGAGGGTTTTGGGGTGGGGGCCAGGGAACACCCCACCTATTTATTAGAAAGGTGGAAAATTTGAAGCCACCGGAATATAAATATATGTGTATATACATATATTATATCCTTCATAGAAAATTATTAAGTATAACGAAATCATTTTGAAAAGGATTGCTTACATTGTCTCGATCTGCTTCACGAATCATTTCCTCCAAGAGGACATCCCTAAAGCCAAATTCCTCGCAAGCTTTTTGAAGTTCATCACTTGTTATATATCCACTTCCATCTTTGTCAAAGTACGAAAATGCTGCAAATAAATGATTCTCCTTCTCAACTTTGTTCATGTGCAACATTGCAGCTATAAACTCCCCATAGTCAATAGTTCCATTATTGTCCACGTCAGCCTGATTTTTTATGAAAAGAAAATGATTGAAATTGTTAGACTACATACACATATATTACGTAGTACTCCGTATTATTTTTTGGTATACCAGAACGAAATATACACATAATATGTATTATGACTCACAGCCTTCATGAGATCATGTATCTCAGACTCGTTAAGATTTGCACCATATCTATTTAGTCCATCTTTTAGTTCTTCAAATGTAATTTGTCCACTATTATCCGTGTCAATTGCCTTGAACATTTCCTTTAAACCTGCAATTTCCTCTTGAGAAAGGTTATCTGCAATAACCTGCAAATGAAATAGTTCAAACGAATGCAAATGATATATTTAAAATATTTGGTTTTATGACATTGTAAAGCCACAATAGTGTACATGTAGTCAAAACCAATTGAATTTTGAAGTGCTAGAATACTATCTTAGTCTTTAAGCTTAAAAAGCTTTTGCTTGTTTTCAATGAAAAAACACTTACCCTTAGAGCCATTTTCTTAAGCTTATTCATAGCAGAAAATTGTGTTAAGCGAGTTAAGACTGCGGAATCGAGAGGTTTATCTGGGGCCACCCCATCAATCTGCACCCATGGATGGCCTGCCAAAACAAACATGTAAGAAAATTATATCTTCAATTTTAGAGTTCAAACGAAGGGTGAGACCTCATTTCCCAATCACATTCGCGGAGTACACAAGCAGGTTTTAATTCCATAAAATGTAAAAAAAATGGAATAGACTCTTTTGATCATATTAATAGATTTAGCAATTAGCATTATAAGATTGCATTCAATCCTAAAGAGTCAAACACATAGAAGGGGTAGCTCAAAAACTCATGTGTGAGTTTGTGTTTTTATATATGACCGATGGATTAACTCAATGCCTCATATATGAATTTGCAAGTTTGTTATTGGGTTGTGTTTAGTGTTATAAGTATTTGTCTCAAACCGAAATTATATAAAATAATAAATACTACATATGATTTTGGGGTACTACTCCTATCACATTGACATTTTAGGATGGGACCCTCGAGACTTAATATGATTTGATTGCTATTTAGGACCCATGATTAAGAGTATTTCACTAAAGGGTCTGTTTAGCTCATTTATACACCCGATGTTGTCCGCCTGATTTGGGTTGAGGGACGTACATGTTGAAGTATTTGTGTCACTCTAGAATTATATAAAATAATAAAGCACTATATAAGATTCTGGACTACTAGATTTATCAAGTTGACCTTTTGAGATGGAATCCCGGGTCTTAACAACTGACAAGTGCATTAATATAGCAAATCTAATTTACAAAAGCTTTAAATCACCTTTTAAATGAAAGTGATCAAAAGCGTATGAGCAAAAGCAATGGAAGAATTTTGGGACCCAGGTTTAAAGATAAACCATATGTTGAATTCTTTCTTATAAATCATGCTAAGTGCCGCATAACACATTCTTCTATGTCTAAAAATCAAATTAAACACAATTTTATTATATCCATGGAACTATTTGCAATAGATTCATCCAATGGAAAATTAATATAGAAACTTGAAGAGTAATTGGATTCATTGAACATAAATTGCTCAAAATATTTGTAACTTACAAAGAACTTCATGAGCAGTTAGACGCTTTTTAGGATCCCTAACCAACATTCTTCTTATTAAATCTTTAGCACTATCAGAAATTTTAGGCCAAGGTTCTGATTTAAAGTCAACATCAGCCCTCAAGACTACCTCAAATATGTCTTGCTCAGTTTCTGAAAAAGAACATCAAAATGATAGAAGGATGAGAAGGTAAGACAATATAGTAACCTAGTTAAAGTTACATATTACTAAAAGCTTACCTCCCCAAAACGGAGGAACACCACTAAGGAGGATGTAAACTATCACACCAGCACTCCATATATCACACTCTTGACCATAATGTTTCCCCAAAACTTCCGGTGCAACATAATAAGGACTTCCAACAACATCATCGAAGATTTCCCCTATTTTCATAACATAGATAAACAACATTTATTGGCATCAATGAAATACTCAGATTTATCCTATTTTGAAAGTATTTCAAAGTAGACTCTTTTGTAATGGTACCTTTTTTAAATTTAAAAAAACAAGAGAAAAGTAATACATATCCACACACAAAAAGTTAAATATGAGATCAGCAGTAAAAGGTAAATGAAAAAGGGAAAAGTTAGAAGATATCAAATTAGAAAATTATTCATATTTTTGTGAAAGACAAAAAGGAAATGTATCTTACATAATGAGATAAAGGGAGTATAATCCTTTTAAACAGTTTAAGTCTTCCCATCGTATGTTTACCTGAGGTATATCTAACATATAAAGTATAACACAAACCTCTTCCTTTGAGAATCCTTTCAAGTGAGCAAGTCCTCATTTAGTTTTGTATCACAGCTTGGTCTAGTGTTAAATTGATTGTTTATTGGTACCCATAATTGGTAGTTTGTCTAAGTTGATTTCGCCCATTTAATTCCCGTTTAAACTGATGACCCTTTAGGATGAGTTGGAGCTTATTTAAACATAACTGAGTTCATTTTTCATTTTGAATTATGTGACCAATCATACATAACAAAAATTTCACTCTTTTGAGTTTGTTATCCTATTTTCTAGCATTTACCTCATTGAAAGAAATAAACTAGTTTTTACTTTAAAGAATTACTTAACGTTATGCTAAAGAAATGTTATTTTTATTCATCTTATTATTGTTTAGCCTTGCTTATTTTGATTGCATATCTGCTATTACCTGCAAAGTGTCCCTCAATGTTTGGGCTTGCTTGTGCTTGTGAGTAGTTATTTATTAGAGGTTACAGAAAAATGTTAAATTGTAAAAGTTAGTAGTATATGAATATAGAAGTGAATTTTAAAAGTAGAAGATGGAATGTTTGGCAAAAAAGTTTTTTTGGAAAAGTAGTTTTAAGTACATTCCCACTGCATACAGAATTAATTCCACTTTTGGTCCTACGAATTTTATGTCATTTCCACATTTAGTCCACGTCTTTCACTTTGTCCACTTTTGGCACTTTTGACTAATGTTTCTTTACCATTTGTTGTCCTTCTCCGGCGAATTTAACCACCAGAATTATTGTCGGAAGAACCATATATGGGCGAAAACACAATAGTAATGTATAAAAAATGGTCAAAGTCAAAGACGTGGACCAATTGTGGAATCGGTGTGATACTCGTAGAACCAAAAGTGGAATTTATTCTTGCATACAACCTTTAGTGTTGAAATGTTTAATTGTAAGCAGAAGTACTTTTTTGAAAACCATAGAAAAAATGAAAACCTCAAATTTATTTAAAATGAAAAGCAGAAAAGAGGTATTAAGGTACCGCAAACACTTCTTATATACAGAGTATCTTGCATTTAGAGAAAACCACATAAATATCATAAAGAATGATTTAAACAAGCAAATCAGATTTTATAAGAAGATGACACAAGTTGAAAACGTAACAAAAGAAATACTGCCTCTGGTCCCATAAAAAGAGTAGTATTTTAATAACTCTTATTGTCTTAAAGAAGTCGTATACTCCCATATCATCAAATAGAATTAGTTTTTAATGTGATTAAGTCACTCTTAATGGGTATAACTTGTCAAAATAGAGAGTTGTACCTTCAGAAAATGTGACTCTTTTGTTAGACTGAGAGAGTATCAGAGTGTATATATAAATGCATACCTGGTTTGAAAAAAGTTGATAATCCAAAATCAATAGTTTTGAGAGGTGAATCCTCCTCATCACTAACAAAGAGGAAGTTTTCAGGCTTGAGGTCCCTATGCATGACGCCCAAGGAGTGGCAGGCTTGTATCACACCAACTATGGTCCTAGTGAGGTCAGCTGCCTGCCGCTCTGAGTAATGCCCCCTCTTTACAATCCTATCAAATAGTTCACCTCCTACACATAGCTCCATAACAAAATGAACTGCCACTGAATCCTCATATGAGCCTTTAATAGATATGACGTTAGGATGACCGGCCAAGTGGTGCATTATCTCAATTTCTCTCCTCACATCTTCCACATCTTCTTTTGTCACCAATTTCCTCTTTGATATAGATTTACAAGCATATTTTTCCCGGGTCGCCTTCTCGACACAAAGGAAAGTGGTCCCGAATTGGCCGTGCCCGAGTTTCTCCCCTAATTGGTAGAAGTCCTTCAGATGTCCAGTTTTGGTCTTCAACACAGAGTCTACCTGCAGGCCAGCACTGACTACTCTCTTCACATTGTGGGGCTTTCGGGGTTTCGAAGGCTTTTCCTTTCTGCTTCCTCTTTTGGCTGTATCGCCTTCCTCACTGTGATGTCCCTCCTTCTCATCCTTTTCCATCCTAACCACTTCTGGCGGTTTGTTGTTCTGGACTGAAACAATTGCACCTTCTGCCTCTTCTTCACAGCTTGTTTCATTTTTCTTAGCGGGTGTGAGCATATCGAGTGGTGGGACCCACCAGAAGAGAGAATGAAAGATCCCATTCTTTGTGATTTTTGCATGAACACATTTGTTTCCCATCTATCTGCTATTCCTTCTTCTGTCTCCCAAATCCCTAATTACCACTCATGTTTGGGATGAAGCGATTTAAGCCGCACTGACATTATGCAATTCTAACCAACACAATTTCAAACCGTAATCCCAACTTCCCAAGCATTTAGTTTCCTTAAGAGCTTCAAATTCTATAAATTAAAGCTATGAAACAATTAAGGCTTTCTATGAAAGAAAGCAACAATCTTTGCACAGAAGTTGATTATCATGTAACCCTATGTGTGCGGAAGAGCTTAAGCTTCTGCAGAATTGAAGAAAAGAATGCTGAGACAGCCCTTTCTCAATGAATTGAAGAAGAAGAAGACAGACGATGGTTGATGACTTGAGATGTTGAAATATATAATGGTAGCCAGAATTGATCATTCGTGCGAGGAAGTAATCTCATTCGTCTCTGAAAGGATTGGATTAGGGTTTTGAATTTGGAGTTTCTTCTTAATCGATAGGACCAGGTGACAGGTTTTTCAGTTGTGAAGTCTCGAAGACCGGTCCCCCTAAATGCACAATACATATTCGGAGTGCACACATCCTAAATTGATAGTAATTTCCCTAGTTCCTTAATAGACTTTCATTAAATTATGCAAAACATATACCGTAATAATAAAATAAAAAAGTAAGGATGGTTATACTTGGACGAGTTTCAATCTCAAAATTAATCATAGTTTTGTAAATAAATTTTATTTCATTAATATTTATAAAAAAACTCTAGATTTTTTCCTTTTATTCAGCCTATTTTATTACTCCATAAATTTCCTAGGAACCTATACTCGTCTAACCCCAAAATTGATGTGTAACCACTTTAAATTTTGCCGACAGGTTAGAAAATTAGTGCTTCGTATAATTGTCAAGTTAAAAAGCATTAAAACATTAGAAAAAGAAAGTCAAGGTTTGACTTCACGATTATTAAGGAAATAAATTGACATTACTGTAGAAAACACTGTGTATACATTGTTTGGACGTTGTTTCGCACTCTTTGGATGTAGATTTCTTTGTCAAATAAGGAAATAAGGGAAGTGTGATTTTGTTTTTGAAACATCTCAAAAAGGAAAGCGTGAGTTTCTTTTAGAACGGAGAGAGTATATACCTTAGAATTAGTTTTTTATTTTTATAAGGAAATCATTTATATCTATTCAAATTATAAATGACTCAAATAACTCAAGGAAGTATTACACCCAACAATCAGACAAAGAAACACTCGCCCACAGTCAAATAACTTGAGTCACCGACCACTATTTAAAAATAAAGTTCATTTTTGCAATACATCTTAGTACTTCAAACTAAAGTAATTGTCTCATATAGGACTAATTGTAAACATCAGTGCACAAATAGGACCAAACGTTTTTAATTCCCTATATAGGACTCCGGATTACCATTATACCCTCCTATATAATAATATTAAAACCTAATTTTCTATCGCTCGATCTTTCCCTGCACCTCTCATCTCCATTCGCGATCTGCAAGCGGTTGGGCCTCTCGGCCCTCTCCTCTGCATCTCTACGTCGTTTCAATGGTTTTTCTTCACCGCCAATCAACTTCGCCGTCGCTGGTTGTCCATCAACGCCGCCGACACGCTGGTTCTCCATTGCCATAATCGCCACCTCTTTATTCCAGGTTTTCTTCTTTCTTTCTTCTTCTTCTCCTTTTCTTCTTCTTCTTCTTCCCATCCTTCTCTGTTTTCCGTTTACAAAATCAAACTATTCACTGATTTTGTTGTTTTTTGGTAGAACTTTTCAATTTGTTGAGTTTTTCCATCAACTTTTCTGATTTTTGGGCATTTATTTCGTAGTTTTGATTTCTGATTTCAATCATTTTTTGGTTTAATTAAAAACTCTGTTTTCCCCCAATTTCGGATATTGGGTTCGTTTTTTTATTACCCCGGAAGGCAAACTACCAAAATCAGTGGGGCAGATGCCGGAGGGTCAACTGCCAAAATATTATTAATAAAAAAGAGTGTAGCAAACAATCAGAGAAGGGGGCCAAACCAAACTTCTCTAGACAAAAATCAAACAGAAGCATAATAAAAAATACACCATATAAAAAAACAGCAAAAATAAAAGATCGAACCCAAGAAACTAGCGATCATATCTTAAAGAAGGTAGTCCAAATAAGTCCGAACAGTAAGCATTGCGGGCCAGATTAGGGAGATCCCCCACCCTATAATAAGTAATGGACCGGCCCACATCCGACCTGGCTAAAAATGGGATGTCCAATTAGCTTCTCTCCATACAACGAAATAGGAAATGTTACTCACTTCAGACAGATCCAACCGACGATTAGGATGTTTTTACTTGAACTGTAATTTCTCCCAGACCAGACCAGACCAGATCAGACCAGACCAGACCAGACTTAAATAGTTATAAAAATACAAAGAAACCAGACCAGACCAGACCAGATCAGATCAGACCAGACCAGCCGTCCGAGTAAAAACATCCTTGATCTCATCGTTCCTCCTACCAACCCTTCCACGCTTCAAGTTCTCCATCACCTCCGAGGAGTCCATTTCTACCTGAAATCCACAGTATCCAAGGGCCGTCGCCCAAGAAACAACATAAATTACAGAGGCAAGCTCCGCTTCGTAAGAAGATGAAGCCGAGACTGGAAAAGAGGAAGCAGCAATCATTTTCCCGTCGCGATCTCGCAAAATAGCACCCCCATTCGCCCGGTAAGGTGAGTAACTGACATTTGTGTTTAATTTGAGGGAATTCTTCGAAATCTTCCAAACAATTGCTTTAATCATAGGTTTACATAACCTAAAATCTTTCGGTATCAGCTGTTCTTCATAAAGGATGCTTTCAGCCTTCAATAAGCTTTTAGAATTAATGGAAGAGACCCAATTCTGAGTATAGTGCTTAATCTGATTTACAATAGAAATAGAGGTAAGGCTAGTATCACTATTACCCCCAGACCAAGGAAGCATAGGCCTTCCATATAAACCAGCTAATAATTCCAGGTAAACAATGTTTAAACACATCATCAAGTGTTTTGGATCCTGCCTGAATCCACCAAGAGATGAAAATATGTCTAATGGAATCTGTCTGGTGCAAAATAGAAACTCCAAGAATGCCCATGAAATAATCCCACACAGGTCTAGTTTGAACACAATCATAGAAAACATGATTAACATTATCAGAATGGGCTCTACAGAGGGAAATGGAAGGATTGAGTATTGTCTGAAATCTTGACAGATTATCTGAAACAGGAAGAATACCATTAAGTAGTTTACATTGAAACAATCTGATATTTAGAGGAAGTTTAGGGTGCCAACTGTGTTTAGCTGAAAAGGTAGCAGGCTTCTCTTGCCTAACTTCTTCATATGCAGATTTTAAAGAAAAAACACCTGTAATAGTAGGCTCCCAAAAAACACTCCCATCATGGTTTAACCCACAAAGTGAAGAAGCAAAATCATGAATAGAACAGATTCTCCTCCAAATTGGAGAGTCATAAATTTTAGGAACCATATTTGGACCTCTAGGATATCTTGCTCTCAAAAAGTGAACCCAAAAAGAATCCCCAGTCTTCCATTTCCACCATAATTTAATAGTAAATGCCTTTTCAATATCAGAAAGGCTTCTGATACCAACTCCCCCCTCCTCAGTTGGAAAGCAAAGATGTGACCATTTCACCCAATGATATTTTCTCCTTTCATTAGAAGAGCCCCAAAAGAAACAAGCCATTTTCTTCTCAAGAATACTGATAACCTTTTTAGGCAGTTTATCAGCAGCCATAATATGTGAAGGAATAGTGTTTAAAACATGTTTTATCAAGATCAATCTGCCTGCCATTGAGAGGTGCTTTTGCTGCCAAGTAGAAAATTTAGAATCAAATTTGTGAATAAGATCCATGCAATAACTAACTCTGTTTATTCCTTTGTGCAGGGGAACTCCCAGATATTTAATGGGAAGATCAGCTTCCTTCATCCCCAGCAGATGTGCTATCAAATCAGCCCTAACTTTTCTGCCACACAGGAAAGAGCTTTTCTGCAAATTAATGGATTGCCCAGAAGCTTTTTGGTAAGAATTAAGAAACTTTTTGAAATTTAAAAGGGATCTAGAATCACCATTTAAGAAGATCAATAAATCATCTGCAACAAATCCTAAATGGGAGACAGAATAACCATAGGATCCTATCCAGTATTTCTTAATAGAACCATTATTAATGAGCCAAGTAATTCCTCTGGAGAAAGCTTCTGAAGCAAGGATAAAAAGAAAAGGTGAAAGTGGATCACCTTGTTTAACTCCCCTCTTAGGTTGGAAAAAACCTTGTGGCACCCCATTTACCAGAATAGACAAGTAGGTACATTGCAGATTATTCATAATAACTTGAATGAAGTTGTGTGAGAATCCAAATTTGTCCTAAATAGTCGCAATAAAACCCCAGGAGAGCTTATCAAAAGTTTTTGCCATATCTAACTTCACAATAACATTAGATCCTCTCACCTTCTTATTCAAAGAGTGAACCATCTCTTGAGAAATTAAATTATGGTCTACCATATCTTTGTCTTTCATAAAACCAATCTGCTCAGGTGAGATGATTTTAGGGAGGATTAAAGAGAGTCTGTCAGCCATCACCTTAGTGCAAACCTTGTTAACAAAATTAGATAGACAAATGGGTCTAAAGTCAGCAAATGAAGATGGATTATTAACCTTAGGAATTCACTACTAGAAAACTGCCTTACAGTGACACTTCGTTAGTGACACTATTCGATTTAGTGTCAAAAACTGACGACATAACTGAAAGTTTACACATAAGCATCACTAATTTCTGACACAATAACATCACCATTTAATAGTGACAATGTGAAAAAACGGGGTCATATTTATAATTTATTAAAATATTGTTTTGAAATGGGGCTTATTTTATAAATTTTATAAATTTTAACCCTAATCCTTCCCATATTCTTCACACAGCGCAGCTCACTCTCAACCTCCGATCCTTCATCTTCCGCTGCTGCGTTTCAGGGGAAGCCATAGCAAACATAATAGGGCCAAAGGGAAATGTCGGTCAAGCCATTAGGGTATTTACACAGGTTTCATGATTTTGAGAGAGACGGTGAGAGGAAAACAGAGTAGGTCATCGGCACTGGGTGGGATACGGTGCTTCAGCGAGTGATAATCTCCAGTCAGCCTGTATCCCTGAATAAGGTAGACCTGTTCTTATCTTCGTAATACGCTTTTTTTGCTTTGAAGGGGAGATTATTCATTGTGAATCATTGCATCGCTTGCAGATGAATGCCCGCCCGAGCCAGATGATGAGCGCATGCGTTCATTTGTCTAGGTCGGTAACATAGAAGAAGTCCATTCGCCAACCTCAGGCAATTGATCCTCACCACCGATCTCGCTAGGTATCCAGGTAATTTTGAAAACCCGTTTAGTATTTTGATGATGATTTCCAAGTCGCTTTGAACAGTGAACGTTTGGTAACTTGTGGTTATCGTTGTTTGAATTGAGGGTTCAATGGCCAAAATTTCTGCCTCTAGAGGGTTAACTGCTGTCAGTGGGAAGGCTATTGCATTGAGAAAGATACTTTCAGAAGTATGCAATACAGCACCTCCTCAGCTTTTGTTATCGAAGAAAGAGGCGTCTGTGTTCAAAGTAAGCTCGTGGTTCCCTGCTCTTTTCCATTTCAACAATTTTTGTTTCCTGCCCTTTTTGTTCAAAATTGGCAACAAACCTTTTTTCTTCTCACAGACCGTCACAGTGGAGGTCTTCATTAAACCAGACTAACCTCACCATTTGTCTTTATTGGTTCATTGTGGGATTCGAGTGTACTCCCCTCCAAAATTGAAGCTTTTCTGCTTTTGTGCATAACAAAGCTAACTATTTGCAATGGCATTCCTTGCTTTCTGGGAAAAATGTGAAATTGATGATATAGAAATCTGTGTTTCAAGATTGAATCCAAGTCTGAAGTGTGAGTAGATCTCCAAGGATGAACCTCACACTGAAAATTAGTATAATTTGATGCTACTTTTTTATTAGGTTTCATCTGTTGTCTGAATTTTATGAGGGAAAGCGAAGCTGTAGAAAACATCTTGATGATCATAACATTTTTTTTTAATTTGAGCGAATTTAGTATTGATTCATTGTTTGAACATTAAGCTATTTATTCAAGTTCATCATTCTTAGGTTTTCTTAGGTTGTCTCCTTTCACCAGCAACCCTGCCTCCTCCGGTAGTGGCCCAAGTCCTCTGCCCCCTCCCAGCAGAATGCACGAAGCATCCACACGCCGCTTCTCCTCCTAAAAAGGTAAGAAATCTGCGATTTAAGTTGTTTTACTTTGTTGATAGTTTTTTGTTTGGTTAGCTTCTCTTTTTTTAATAGTTTTGTTGGTTAATTTATATTGGTTTTGCTGGTTAGTGTATGCTGGTTTTGTTAATTTTTATGTCAGAATAACCTAAAGAATAGGTAGTTTTCATGCTATCTTTGTTGCTTGATTTAGTTAATGTGTCAATTTACTAATTTACTAATTTATGTGCTTTTGTTAATTTCTCTAACTATTTTTGTGGGTCCGTCAATTAGTATTTAGTTTTGCAGCAGATCAGTTCTTTGCTCGAGTACTCCACACTAGTTCATTTCATTTGCCATCATTGTTGGTTTATTAATTTTGATCGTCTAATTTGGTTACAAGTTAGCAATTTAATTAATGTGAGTCAAATTTATTGATTTATTGATTTAATTGATCATGTTCATAGCAAGTTTTTGTCATGTGCTTAGGGGTGGATGAAAAGGGTGGATGAATAAAAAAGATTTGTTGTCAATAGCTAGTAATGTGATATGCATGCTTAGAGCACAATCTGCCCGAACTTTGTTCAGTTTGTTAAACTTTATTTACTTTCTGTTTTCAGCATTGACTCATCTTGTTGGAGGGCAGTAGCCCTCAATTGGCTAGGTTGTTCTTAATAACGAAAACTAGAATTCTACCCATTTATTGTTTGGATTTTGAGAGATATGCCGTGTGAGATTATTGTGTTTCCTCCTGAATGTGTTTATCAGAATGCAATCCTTCATATGTCTTATTTTTGTGTGATGCTTCAGTATTTTTCCTACACATGAAATGATTTTAGGTTCTCATTCTTGGTTTTGTAGTATTTTTTAAAAGCAATGTTAAGTTTTTGTTTTGGTGTTGCTTTAGTTCTCCACAATCAATGAGTACTCTGAAGATGATATACTGCAAATACGTGAAGAATGGGTCTCATATGTAGCAAACCTACTGAATGAGTAAGTTGAAATTTTATTTATTGAGATAAGTGTGTTAAGAATGTAGTTTTCAGTAATTAGGATTTTTTGTAGTGTGATGATTGAAATAGTTATCATTATTATTTTTACAGGCTGAAGTGACGAACGTGAATAACTGTGCTAGATGGATTTTTGTGAAGCTTGTAGCATTATGGCTGTTAAGTAGTACAAATGGTTGGAAGGACATAAGATTTTGATGATTGTGATGTACTTTATGTTTTTCCGGAACATATGTAATGACTACTTAATGTTTGCAGCCCTATGTAACTAGACTACAATTCAAGAATATTGGTATTTTGGATTTTGCTTTGTTTTGAAAACAAGCTAGGTTAACTTATCTTTGAATTTTCATGTTGAATTGACTTTGATTTGAATCTATATGACAATTATAGAATACTTTGAATGATTATGAATTTGTTTTATATTTGTCTACAAGCTTGAAAATTAAACTTTTAGGTGGATATGGTGGTGCAAAAAAAGTATTAAAATTGTTCAATAGTTGATACTATAGTATCATAAATCTGGATGGCGCAAGAGTATCATAGGTTTTTGTAACATTAGTGATATCACTAATTTATATGATATCAAAGTGTCATTAAGTATACCAATGCAAATGTATCACTATATTTTATGATACTAACGTGTCACAATTTACTGATACTTTTTAGTGACACATTTTTTAGTGTCAGAGTTCCAACCATTCGTTGACACTTTTATGGTGTCACTAAAACTTTTAGTGACACTAATTTAGTGTCACTATAGACCATTTTTCTACTAGTGATTAACACAATTAGACTGCTAGAAAGCCCTTTAGGGATATTGATGCCTAAAAAGAATTCCTGCACTGCTTTCACCAGATCAACCCCAATAATATGCCAGCATTTTTTAAAAAATTTACCATTGAATCCATCAGGCTCAGCCGCTCCATTAGGATTAAGATTCCAGACAGCCTTTTTAACTTCCTCCTCTTGTGGTAATAACATTAACTGTTGATTGTCCTCTGCAGAAACAAGATTAGGAATAAATTGCAGAACATCAGCTGTAAGAGTATTTTGTGACACAGAATAGAGATTGGTGTAAAAATCAATGGCAGCTTTCCCAATATCAGGTAGAGAAGAAACCACCACCCCCTATGCATTTTGAATAGATGTAATACTTTGTCTTCTATGTCTGATTTCACATAAGAGTGAAAATAACTTGTATTAGCATCTCCTTCTTTGAGCCATTTGACATGAGATTTTTGTTTCCAATATTTTCTTTCCAGGTTCAGTTTAGAGATAAGAAGAGCTCGTTGATGGTGCCACAATTCTCTGTTATCTGCAGTAGGGTCTTCCAAAAAGTTCTTTTCAGCTAGTATAACCTGCTCTTCACACCTTTTAACTTCTTTAAAAATGTTACCAAAAACTTCTCTATTCCAACTTTTCACCAAGCTTCTCATACCTCCTCCAGTTGGAGTTTTCTTCCAACTTGTTTGAACAATGTCAAGAAAAGTTGGATGTTTCACCCACATGTTATGGAATTTAAATGATCTGGGACCATTAAAATCTTCAGTAGAACACCTGATAAGCAATGGAGTATGATCTGAAGGGGTTTTATCAAGAATATCAATTTGCAATTTTTTGAACAGATCATTCCATTTGTTATTGATCAAGTATCTATCAAGTCTCCTCCAAACCCAGCCATTAACCCTCACCCCTGCCCAAGTATAAGTAGAGCCTGAGTAATTAGGATCAATCAAATCACAATCTGCAATACAATTAGAGAAATCCAGCATGCTATTAAGATTAGGAATAGAACTTCCCGGATATTGGGTTCGTATTTTTCCAAATTTATGGCAGTTTGACATAATATGTTATGGCAGAAAACTTGTATTTTGACATTCATTTGCGACTTGACAGTATTGCCAACTATATGGCAGATTTACATATGACATTATGGCAGAAAAATATTATTTTCTTTGAAATGAACTGCCAAATCTATTAAGAGGAACTGCCATTATAATGTTCATTTTTTAATAAAAGATGGGGAAAATTTATATTTTTATGTTGTCAATAAAAGATATATTTTTGCAGAAACATGGCATTTTCAATGGAAATTGGCGGTGGCGGCGCCGGAACTGACAGCGGCGATGGTGTCGGATGTGGCAAAGCCGAGAGTGGTGGCGCTGGGAACGGCAACGGCATTTGGACTGTTGGACGCAGGATGGAACCTAGGGTTTAGAAAGCTTTTTCTATTTGTTATTTTTAATTGTAAATCGATCTAGAAATTCATTAAGGGTAATTTTGTAAAGTCAGCACATTTTTAGTCCTATAAAACATGAGAGTCCTATTTGTGCATTTCTTCATTGTTTTAGTCCTATTTAGGGAATTAACTCTTCAAACTAAAGTACACCATAGGTAAAAATAATTATTGGATCAACTTCGTGTAACCTGTTTATACTCTCAAAGCGGCCCATGAAAATCTCTTCTTTCGAAAAACCCAACCGCCACTCATAACTCATAACCCCTATAAATGTTATATGCTCATAACAAGTGTTCTGTATAGGACATACCACATCCCTTTTTGTTCATTTGAACTATCAAGATGAATGAGGGAAGCTAAATCCGTATGACCAAATGGCTAGCTTTTCATCACTAGCTTAGAGAACTAGCATGAATGGTAACACATCATTGATAACAAATTAACAAAATCATTCACAAGGGTGCTGGACCACGAACTTGAAAAAGAAAGAGTAACTAAGTACGAAGTTATAGTCTTGTTCATTAAAATTGTACGAAGCCAAGTATCATCACGCTACATCAACATATATTTTACATAGAAGACGCTCCGAATAAATCGTGGACAGACTATGGCACTTAGCTATCAGCAACTGCCACCTTGGGTTCTGCTGCTGCAAAAAAGCCGATGCTGAAGTCGAAGCTGATACATGCCAACTCATGCTTCTTCCCATCCATCATCTTCATTGTCAGCGTGTAGGAACCCTGAATTATCCAAACATTACAATGAACAGAATAACTATGTACAGATAAGATAAGATTGACTACCTAATTCCCCTAAAAGTACTTTAATGTAATGTCTTTAACTTTTTTATAAAATTGCATTGCTACTATCACGCAGTAATGGATTTCGAAACAAATGTCTTTAATGTTTTGATTGTAAAGATGAATGCCTAAAACTTCCAAAAAAAAAAATCTGTCATCTATGAATCTAAATGAAATATGAATTTAGTACTCGCACGGGTAGCTCAGTTGGTCGAGTGGTGAGAAAATTGGACCAAGTGACCAAGGTTCGAAACCCGCAGCGGCCGTGTGGAGGTTACAAAACCTGAAATAAGGCTGGACCTCTGGTGCGCACGTGTATAAGGCCTACCGCCGCTTTGCTGACTGAGTCACCGTGATTAACCTCCCCACCATCCTGTCGGGTCGGGATGGGGGCTCCTGGGGTGGGAGATCCCACCTTTTGGACCAAGGAATATGAATTTAGATGTGAAAATGTAATGCAAGTTTTCAATACTTTGACCCGGAATTGGCCCAGAGCCGTATTGGATCCGAATGGATCCGAGTCTAGGAGCACAAAGGGTAGATTAGCCGGGTCAAGGGTATAGGTCTGCAATTTTTAGTTCCGATCCAACACACACACAAATTGGGTGTTTTTTTACACACATTGTAAATATATTACAATGTGTAGCATATAATCCGCATAACCCCTCACGGGCCTCACCTGCACTGATTTTTGCTTAATTTATTGTATATTTGTATAAGAAGTGTAATGCAACTTTTATGCATATTGTTAAGAAAAAAAATTAATTTTGCCGCCACAAGATTTGGAAAAATAATTTTCTCCACTGAAAAACTTGGAAAAAGGATTTCCCCGCCGCAAAACTTGGAAAAAGAAATGTGAAATGCTAAAGGTACCCCATTTTGGGGTACCCCATTTTTACCCCACCCTATTGTGTGGCCACAAATGGGGCAACACTTTTAAGTGGGGCAACACATTTAAGTGTGGCCTCATTTGGACCACACAATGTGTGGAGTAAAAATGGGATTCCCCAAAATGGGGTACCTATAGCACAACTCAAAAGAATTTCGCCACCGTAAAACATGGAAAAAGAATTTCGCCACCATAAAACTTGAAAATGACCCCCCCTGCATAATCATGGCTCAATTCCTGGATATACCATAGTTCACCAGCTCACTTCCAAACATAAGCATATGGCTCAATGCTCTATGATTATAAAACCCAGATGGTGTCGACGTGTCATCATCATCATTTATTAATATAGTCAGTAGGCACCACTTTGATAATGAATAGTGGTGATGATGATGATGCCAAATATGTTCTTTGATTCCATTACAGGCTTTAAAATTACTCATGAATACTCCACTGATACTATCTAGACACAATACTAATCAAGTGGAAATGTGCAGAATACGCATAAAATAAAAATCATAGGCAGTGAGGGAAGTAGAGATGAACTGGAAAGAAGCAAAATCTTACAGGAGGGGTTATCCCAGGCAACGCTTGGGTGTGTGCTATGACAAAATCACCGGCAGAAATAGGGCAAGGTGTCTCTTCACAGAGGTCATGTGTCTCGCTGTAGACATTAAATATCCAGTATTTGACATCAATCTGCATCTTCCCCCCAGAAATGTCTTTATCTGAATGAGAATGTTAAGTCAATCATCTGGCAACTTAGTTAATAAGAGGCTTTGTTGCATACCATTTCTTTTACATTTACTTGCTTAAAACTACTAGTTCGACTTGAGAGTTCTCTACTCTATCTGGTCTCATTAAAAAGTTAAAACATGTTCTCTTTAACTTGACTCATTACTATATTGGACCGGATAAGACTTCCATCAAACAATTTTTTTTCCCCTTTCTTGGAATCCGTCTGATTTTTCTCAGCATTCTCCTCCTGTCTTGCAATGCATTTAGATATAAAAATATACTAAACCAGACCACAAAAATCAGTAAAAAGAAACAGACCCTTTTAGGCTTACCTTACTCATTAGTCAGTAAATGTGTCACAAAGAAAAAGAAGGTAAAAAACAAGTCCAACATATGTATTATTATACAATGGAGCCTACAAAGATAAATGTGAGATTGTGATAGCGCAATATGGAATACATATCCTCTAAGAAAATCCTTCTGATTCATTTAAGATGATCTAAGACTTGAAAGCATGAAACATGCTTCACTTATATTGAAGAAATAGAGACGTTGTAGGTGGCTCCAACACACTGAAAAAGATCACTTAAACAAAACTTAAACACCTGTTAGTGTTCTCTTCTTCTCCATACCATTATTATTCCATTATTATACACGTTAGACTTGTACTCTCCTCTACTTTTGTTGTATAATTCAGATAAAATGAACACATATAATATATACTAGTATATGCATAATTGTTCTCGTAACATGATCCATGTTCTAAAAACGATATATGCATAATTGTTCTCGTAACATGATCCATGTTCTAAAAACGATATGATATCTATAGGCGCCTGTCACTTAAGTGGGTTAGGCAGGCCAAAATAAAGAAAAAATTGATGATTTGTAAGCAGAACATTCTGCTGTTAAACAGTCGATTGAAGAGAAAATGTTTTAATAAATTTAGTGCATAAAACCAATTATTAAAAAATTGGACACAATAGAACAATCACCTGAATAAGCTGATATACTAAAAGTGGTGTTTATGCCTCTTTGCACAGGACTAGGTGATATATCAACTCCGCTGACCTTAACATCATAGTTCTTCTTGCCTGCACGTACGGATTTAGAGAATTCACCACCAAAAATTAAATAATACAAATTAAAATTAAAAAGAAAACGCATAATAAGAGAGAGACTACAACTCTACAAGTCAACCAAAAGTCCACATAGCCCTAAAAGAACATTATGCGAGAAACTCCATCTAAATAAAATATCGGAAGGCTACTCTCCGTAGGCTAGAAATACGCCCAGAAAGATTTCAATTTTATCAAATAAAGAGTGCCCAGTCAGTAATTTTGTCAAACAGATAAAATCCCGAGCAAACTATGACTTCCACGCATGAATCTCGGGATCTGGGAATCAGTTTGAATGGTAAAAGATCTTTAAAACATAAGAACGAGCCAATTGGTCTCTTCCAAGTAAAACCTGAGGTCACGATAATAGAAATAACAAAAAAAATTGATGTAAAAGAAGGTCAAAGAGTCAAGAGGAACGTACTGCAGTACTGAAAATCATTAGAGTCGGCTAGGCTCAGGGAAAATATTGAACACAAAAATACTAAAAGGGCAAGGACGAATTTCGCTTCCGCCATTGATGATTTGATGATCAACTCAGAGAGAAAGAGTGCAGACGATGAAGGTCGTAAAGGAAGGGGGGTCAGTGGACACAAATCGTGAGTTTAGAGGACCTTTGTATGGTAAAATACACGGTACGGCCGAGTTTAAGGAAGGGGGTGTTCACCCTGCGGCTGGGTTTCTTCGTAATTAAATTTTCGGGATTCAGCCCTGCAGTTCGCGATTAGCCCTGCAACTCATAAACGAAGATGATGAAGGACGGCAGATCGAAAGAAGATGGCAGATAGCCTAGCTTAAGTGCAACTCAAGAGTCACGACTGAGATTCTTAGCTGATGGGCTCTACCGCTGCGAGCGATTCCTATTCTTCACACTCTACTTTTCCGCTAATTACTGGTCTGCTACATGGATTGCCACAGTTTTTTATACAAAATGAAATTATGAGCATAGTAGACATTTCGAATGAGTTTTATGATTGCTCATTTTGTAATTTATGTATACTCATTTGATATTTGCTTAATACTCATTTTAAATGAAATGAGTTTTATGTTAAACTCAAATGAGTATAACGCCCAAAAAGAATGAGCACACACAAATGAACCTTTTAGTTATTTGATACTCCCTCCGTCCCGCTGTTATTGTCCCATTGCGGTTTACGATGCTTGACCGATGATAAAGAAAACAGATCCCTGTCTGCACTCAAATTATTTTTAGGAAAAAAAAATTACATATTCAGAAACTACATTAAAAGATTTACAAAGTCGCAAAAACCAGAATCAAATTTGATAAAAATTTGATACATAAAGTAAGAGATTAAGAGTGATTTGTGTTGACCAAGTGAATAGGAAATGAGACAATAATAGGGGGACGGAGGGAGTACTAACTTGTAAGTTATGTATGCTCATTTTAAAATGTTGAACATTTCAAATGTATCGTACTAAACGAAAAAATAATAAACCAAAAGTGATATACGGAGTATAAGATTTGAAGCAGAGATCACTGATTCTCACCGTTAGGCTCCTAATACTCAAAAGAACAGGATTGATGCTCATCAAAGCTGCATAAATGCTCATTTAGGAGAATCCGCAATTTTCACAAAAATTACAATTTTGTCACCGGTTGTACAGTGATCACTGTATAGTCGGCTGTACAGTATACGTGTTCCCTTTGTCTTTGGTGGCAACGTGGCGACAATACTTCACGGCTCCTATATGTTACATCTACAACCGGCCCAAGTAAGGAAGACAGTCCAATAGGTGATACAGGCCAAAAAGAATTCGGTGCCATTTTTGTTATTTAAGCGAAAAATCATGGCTTCCGCTAAATGAGCAGTAATGTATTTTTAATGAGCACCAGACCTATTTTATTGAGTATTTAAGAGACTAACAATGATTATCACGACCCCTGCTTCATATCTTCTAATTCTTTTTTCTTTTTCTTATTTTTTCTTTTATAAAAACTTATTAAATTATATCTATAATATCTATAATACACTCCTATTAATTTCAATATGTGAGTCTAATTTAATATGATACTTTTGAAATATGCATTGATATAACAATTAAAAAATGAGCATAACATCAGTACTGAATGAACATACATAACTTACAAAGTGCACATTGATATTAAAAACGTAAGGTTTGTTAGTTGAACATCACGACATTTTAATTGAGCATCAAACCTTCGTTATTGGCATGAAAATCACGATTTCTGATGAATGAAAAAATGAACAACAAACCTATTATGTTGAGTATTAGGAGTCTAATATTCAGAATCGTGATCTCTTCTTCATAACTTCTATAAAAACTTATTACATTATATTTATAATCAACTCCTATGAATTTCAATATGTGAATCTAATGTAGAATAGTACTTTTAAAAATGCATTGATATGACATTTACAAAATGAGCACAAAATCAGTACCAGATGAGTATACGTAACTTGCAAAATGCGCATTAATATGAAAATCGTAAGGTTTGTTAGTTGAATATCACGACATTTACATTGAGTATCAAACTTCATCGATTGAGATGGATGGAAATCATGATTTATGTTACATGCGCATTAATGAATTTTTAATAAGCAACAAACCTATACAAATTAGCATATGTAACTTACAAGATGAGCATTGATATGAAAATTGTAAGTTTTGTTCGTTGAGCATCAAGATATTTTCAGTGAGCATCAAACCTCTGTTATTGAGTATAAGAATCGTGCGATTCAGTATAATGATTTGTGGTCTCGTGTCTATTATCAACTTTTATGTGAATCTAATGTAATATGAGATTTTTGAAATATGCATTCATATAACATTTTAAAATGAGCATAACATTTTATATGACATAAATAAAAAACTTCAGTTGGAAGTTTGATTAGAGAAAGAAAAAAAAAATAGTTGGGACATTTACTAATATTTATATTATACACTTTCATAATAATTGAATATAACATTAAAGTAGAAGGTTGTTAAAAACAAAAAAACAAAAAAAAAAAAGAAAACAAACAATAAAAAACAAAAAATAAAGGAGAATAAAAAATTAAAAAGAAAGGAGAAACGTACGAAACAAACTAACAATTGAATAGCAAGTATCAAAGATCAGCCAAGTAGCCAACTCACGATACCATAGAAGTGGATCAGGGAGTCAGGGAGTACGCATGCGGAGCAAAAAACTGGAAATAACTCAGCTTATTTATTATCCTTAAAGTTATTACTAATTACAAAATTACCGGGTGTACATGTACACCCGGGTGTACCATATAATTTACCAAATACTTCGTTTGTACGAAATTACTTTTTTTCGGACTGGCTGGCCTACCGCAAGCAGTTGGTATACCGTGGGAGCAGCTCACGATGAGCATGCTGCTCCCACAAAAAAACGTGTTACTGTTCACGCGCGTGAACAGTAATTTCTTTTTTATTTTTTCATCTATTATTGATGGAGTATATGGGTCTGAGCCCCCGGACCCACATACTCAGAAGAACAGAAAGCTCAAGACACTGAGTGGTGCCCTCGTCGGCCAAGGGACCCTCGTCGGCCGGGAAGGTACCAACTCAGAATATGGTCCTGAATCCAAGGAACCCGGGTGCCCTCGTCGGCCGCGCCCTCGTCGGCCGTGCCCTCGTCGGTCACGCCCTCGTCGGCCACGAAGACCTCACAAGATCCGGATTTTACACTTACTCATTTGAGCAGCCCATTAGTGGCTTTGTATTCGGCCCAGTAGCGGTCCAGTTGTAAATGGGCCTCCCAAGCCCAAGGCTTGGGAGCCCAGCCCGTATTTTCCCTATAAATACTTCCTCTGGAGGTAGTTATCAGGGTTACAAATTCATTCTATTGAAGCATATTATTGCACTTCTCTCTCTAGCTCTCACTTCTCTCTAGAATCTAGGAGTTAATACTCCATCATTTGGTGCTTTCATTGAGAGCTAGAACAATCAAGTTAGCACCCTTCGTCGCTACCAAGCACAGCTAACCACTGATCATGGGAAGAACTAAATCAAACCGCAACCTCGTCAGCAAGGCCATCCCTGAGGACCAGGAGACCAGGGAGCACGAGGAGGATGCTACGGCCGACCAGGTCGGCGGAGGGGACGTCTTCCAAGAGGCTTTCAACCTCACGACGGACCTCCGCAACCAACTCAACGGCGGAGCCCCCGATGCCCGCATCGGCTTGGACAAGAAACGAGCTGAGAAGACGGACCACGCCCCGGCCCAGCCTATGGCTGCGGCCTCTCCGTCTGTGGATCCACAGGTCCAGGCCGCACTGTCGGTCATCATCACCAGCCTGGCCCAGAACCCCACCGTCCTCAGCGAGCTCTTGCCAAGGACCGGGGGGAACGTCACTCCACCTCCTCAACCCCAACCGTTGGCCGTCCAGATAGGCAACGATGAGGGGGTGATGGCCCAGGACACGGCGTCGTCCCACTCCCACCCCGCTTCCCCTCTTCGGCCTGGGCAGACCCCAGCGCGTGGAAAAGCCTCTGCCTTCAACAGGCTAGGCGACACGCGCCGTCGTCCGGTTTCGGAGAGGATGGCAGGACGGATTGGTGAGCGCCGGCCTGGCTCGCCAAGGGAAAGCTTGGGGTCTGTATCCCGGACAGCGGACCAGCCCCGCCCGGACAAGGGCAAGGGGAAGCTGCACGAGGACGACGTGCGCCACCAGATCAATATGGCTCACGACGAGCGCATGAGGAACCAGCCGGGCGCCGCTGTGGCCGCCAGGGACCCCCGGGACGAGGTCATCGCTCAGCTGGAAAGGAGGCTGGCTCAGATGGAGGCCAAGCAGTCGGCCAACGTCTCTACGGCCGGCGCCTCCAACGACCCCGGCCTCAACGCGCTCATGAACAAAGTCAGCGCCCTGGAGAGGGAGTTGGCCGAGGGGCGAGGTGACCCCATCATCCAGGTCAGGACCAGGACCCCTTTCACCAACAGGGTCCTCTCGGCCCCCATCCCGGAGAAGTACAGGGGAAACGCCATCAAGTCCTACGACGGCCGATCAGACCCCCAGGAACACTTCAGCCGTTATCAGAACAACATGTTGATGGTGAACGCGTCAGACGAATACCTCTGCCGTTGGTTCCTCTCTACTCTCGAGGGGCCAGCGTACGAGTGGTTCAACGCGCTCCCCGAAGGGAGCATCGACTCATGGCAGGATCTTGCGCAACGCTTCCTCACCCACTTTGCCGGGAGGAAACGTGCGAAGAAGTATTTCACCCACCTCCTCTCCGTCAAGCAGCAGCATGATGAGTCCCTCCGATCATTCATTGATCGGTGGACGAGGGAGACCGAAGAAGTCGAGGGGGCCGATGAGCGCACCCTCCTCGCCCTGTATCAGGGAGCCCTCCGCAGCTCCCCGTACGCTAGGAGCCTCATCACCGACCCTCCGAGGTCGTACGCCAAGGCGCTCCAGCGCGGAGGCTTGTACGCCGACGCCGACGAGCTCCACAATCACAAGAAAGAGGGGGGGCATCCCTCCAAGAAGACAAATCCTTCGCCGGCCCCGGGTCCGTCCCCGGCCGGCCAGGGTGCCCAGGGCCATCACGGCTCTGGTGGACAGAGTAAGAAAGATTGCCACTGGCGGCCGAGGTTGGAACGGCCGGGGGTTGCCCTCACTCACCCGGTCAGCATCATCCTCGACTATGCCGAGAAGCATGGCCTCATCGAGCAGGCTCCTCGGCCGACCGAGGAGGTCCTTGCCATCCAGCAGGGCGGCACATACTGTCGGTTCCATAAGAACTCCTCGCACAACACCGACGACTGCATCACGCTGAAGAAGGCCATCGAGCGTCTTATTCATCAGGGGGAACTCTCCCAGTTTGTT